GAAATTCGAGGCGATCAGTTTACAAAACAGACAGATAGACAGACAAAGTAGACAGACTTTTGTTTTCCACCCGCTAAGTCTTTCTGCACCGATGGGCGAAAAATCAAGCATAGGTGCGAAGGAAAGGTATATAGAAAGGGGGGGAATTTTCGTATTTGAGGAGAATAAAAAGGAACTTCGTACATTTGTACGAGTTCAAAAGGCCAGGAAGAATAGATGGGACAAATGTAAGATAAAAATGTATGAATCAGAATTATAATATAACTATAAACATTAATTATTCCTCTCTATTCTAAAATAGTAATAACTTCTTTGAATTGCGTCATTTCTAGATCACTCTATGATCGGCGCAGCTCTGATGACGTAATCATTGGGAACTGAAACTGTCCTTGTAAACCAAAACTTTTCTCTTCGCATGCCTCCATCTTGCATAACTACGCACTTCAGCTTTTGCCCTCTACTCTGCTAAGATGTAATTTCGCTGGCTTGCTTTCTATCTCAACAATATCAAAAATGAAAATCTTCTGTGGAAATGCACGATTAGAGTGCCAAGTGATTGTGGCCACAAATATCAACTGGAAATAAAAATGGAATTAAAACTGCCTCGACTGCCAAGTTCTTTAAATACTACGCAATCAAAATTCTTCTGCAATATGGATCTGAGCACCCATCTACAGTGTTCCGTCATTTCCTTTCCTTGTGCTTTTAATATTACAATTAAGCCGGTAAGGATAGTTTCCTGCAGCCTGAAACCTCAATGGAAAATTTCATTCAGCTCTTCAAATCATCGTTTTGTGATAAATCCAAGATAATGTGAAAGAAGTGAATCATTAAGTTTGTTTTTTCAGTGTTTAAAAAATAACAGATCATTCTTCTACTGTGGTGTTTTGTTTTTTCAGTGTTTAAAAAATAACAGATCATTCTTCTACTGTGGTGTTTTGCAAGTGCTTCAAAAAAATAATCACGCGTAGTGTTTACAGATTGAAAGTAATATCTCGATAAATTGAGAAGTTGGAATGCCTAGTGAAAAGGAAATCATCAGTGAATTACCGTTTAGGAATTCAGCATTACAGAGGGTTGAAGGTCGATCTGAGTTAGTGTTTGCAAGTATGTGCGACAGAAAATTATTTGCACTTCCGCTTTTTCAACAACTCAAAAATTATTACATTCGTGTGAATTTAGCTCAGGAACTAAATTATTTAATGTGCTACGGATTCTATAGTTTCTGCAATTTGTTTTGAGAAAATCTGAAATTCTTGTTCATTAATGTTTCTAATTTTTCCTAATTATGTGTGAGAAAATTAAGTAACGAATTTTAAGCTATTTATTTTACTCATAGGGAAGGATATTAAGATAAGTTTTTATGTTTTTGAAATTTTGTTGAGAATTTTGAATACGAATTTAATAATTATTCTAAAAATGAAGTAGGTGTAAAAAATAAGTGAAATTATTAGAGATACGTAATATGAAATTATGGTTAATGCATGTAAAATTTATTGGTGATTGTATGTTAAGTATAGTGTATGTCGAGGGAGTACTGGTTCCTTCAACAGAGGCCTGTTATTACCTCTGTACAGTTGTTCCTTTTACCCTCTTCATGCAAGATAATGTTGGAGACTCTCATTTTAAAATGCATGTAAATTTTTTATATTATTATTATTATTATTATTATATTATATTATGGAATGTATTAATGCAGTTTTCAAAGGCCAGTTACCTTAATGCAAGGAACGGAGGCCTTTTCAAATAACTGCCTAGGCACCCTGGGTCACCAGTGCATAGAACACACTGGTTAGCTCAAGAGGACAGCCCTACTGATGGATATGTTTGTTTAGAAGTATTGCAAGGCCTCCAGTTTGATAAAATCAGGAATTGTAAATGAAAGATGGTAACAGTGAAACTATAAATTTTGAAAATCTTAATCCTATTATTTATGATGTTAAATTATATCTTATCAGTATAAAAATAAGTATCATAAATATTTATGTGCATTGCATTTAATTATAAGTAATGATTATGTAAAAGTTTATTTTGTGATATTCTGTAATAACAAGAACCTTCCCTGAAGAATTATGATTATGTGAATTCTCAAACAAAAAGACTTTTGGACTGAAATGCTGAAAAATTCAATAGGACTCTAAAAATTTAAAATTTATTTAAAAAAAAATTGGTATTTATAAGTTATACTTGTATAGAATCAAAATTTTCTGATTTATGTTTTTCTTTTTTATTTGCTAGTGCTTTAACTCTCTCATTAAAAAAGCTTCTCTGTCGCTACGCCTTTTTCTTTTTGAAGGGGGGAATATGTAAGATAAAAATGTATGAATCAGAATTATAATATAACTATAAACATTAATTATTCCTCTCTATTCTAAAATCGTAATAACTTCTTTGCATTGCGTCATTTCTAGATCACTCTATGATCGGCGCAGCTCTGATGACGTAATCATTGGGAACTGAAACTGTCCTTGTAAACCACAACTTTTCTTTTCGCGTGCCTCCATCTTGCATAACTACGCACTTCAGCTTTTGCCCTCTACTCTGCTAAGATGTAATTTCGCTGGCTTGCTTTGTATCTCAACAATATCAAAAATGAAAATCATCTCTGGAAAGGCACGACTAGAGTGCCAAGTGATTGTGGCCACAAATATCAACTGGAAATAAAAATGGAATTAAAACTGCCATGACTACCAAGTTCTTTAAATACTACGCAATCAAAATTCTTCTTCAATATGGATCTAAGCAGCCATCTACAGTGTTCCGTCATTTCCTTTCCTTGTGCTTTTAATATTAGATATATATATATTAATTGTTTTAACTGCGTTTGGTGTTTTATATTTTTCTATACCTTTCAATTTTAAATGAAGATATTTTGCGTTTTTATGTATTTTTGCCTTGCCACGAAGTTAGAACTGAATTAATTTGAGTGAGAAATATATCTCTAATGAAATTCGAGGCGATCAGTTTATAAGACAGACAGATAGACAGACAAAGTAGACAGACTTTTGTTTTGCACCCGCTAAGTCTTTCTGCACCGATGGGCGAAAAATGAAGCATAGGTGCGAAGGAAAGGTATATAGAAAGGGGGCGATTTTCGTATTTGAGGAGAATAAAAAGGAACTTCGTACATTTGTACGAGTTCAAAAGGCCAGGAAGAATAGATGGGACAAAATAAAATTTAAAATAAATGGCCCAAAAATAAGAGAGGAAAAAAAAAAAAAAGGCCTATAGAAAGAAAAGGAAAAAAAGTAGAAAATATCCTAACATACGATTGTATCCATGAGTGTAGTTTAAAGGAGAAGAATCTGTCTTCATTTACAATAAATAGTGTCTCACAGGTGTGTGTGGTGAATGTGTATGGTAGTGGTGAATAGATGTGTTACTGGGAAAAGAAAAAAAAAAAAAAGAATATTGACGGTATTAAAATGCTTCGTATCAAGGTATTTAGCATAGAATGCAAAGTAATATGTATGCTTGCATTCTGAGATATCAACAAAAGTCATCAAACAAAAGTATATATTAATTTAACTAAAGTAACTTATGCTATTTTCGTTCCTAACATTTTCATACATTTTTCAAAAAACAGCGGCAGACAAACAACATAGAACACAAGACCACAACCGCACACACACACACAATATATATATATATATATATATGTGTGTGTGTGTGGTGTGTAAATTACTGAGTATATGTATTAAAAGCACCAATTAAACATAGTATTTATTAATTTAACTATAATAATTTATTACAAGATTAATTATTTTACTATCATAATTTATTACTAGTTAATTAATGCTAGTATAACACAATGAGGCGCACTGTTATTTATATAAGCTTATAGTTCTAAGAATTTATTTAAGGCAGTGAGGAATAAACCATCCCTTACATATGGACATTTAACAGATAGCAAGGAACAGTATGAGAAAAAATCGGTGAGGTATAATATTATTTAAAGGCGAAAATATATTTAAGTGATCTAAAAAAAAAAAAAAAAAAAAAAAAAAAAAAAAAAGAGAATCCAGTAGATTCGAGAGGGAAATAACGCGTTGCCCCAATTTTCCCTCTCACAAGATTCCTCAAAGCAAGATAAGAAGAGTGGTGACAGACGTGAACTGATAACGTTGCGTCTCTTTGGAATTGATTCACAAAGAAAGCCACAAGCAATGAGCAATTTAAAGTATTTTTTAATGCTAGAAACTGATGAAAAATTAAAATTTATTGATTTAAAGGCACTTATTTATAGAAATTTGATTTATTTTAGATGAAAGAAAAGTACTTATCTTAAAATTCCAGGCTTAGTAACAGATAGCGTAGTAATCCAGGCCGTAGTAAATTCTGACATTGTCCGGTGTTTTATTCTCGTCAACATCGGAGCGAACATTTTTGAAAAGATATAGGTTTTGTAGAAAAAAAAACTATTTCAAAGTAATTAAATTGATAATCACCAAGGGGAAAGGAATTTTTTCTTCACATTTTTACAAAGCGCTGCGAAGGTGCAGCCGCTTGCCTCGGTGATCGCAGCGCCTCCTCAGTTTCTTTTCTTTTTTTGTATTAAAATACGGTTACAGCTGATGCTAGTGTAATGTATCTTCCTATTAAATTATATGAATTTAGAAAGTTAAGAATATATTTTTTTGCATTTTCAAACGATCTAATGATTTTGTTTAAATTTTAGATTAATGCTTTTTATTTTCTTAAATATACATGACTTAATTATTAATAATTTGCCATTTCAAGAACGTATATAATTCAACCGTTCACTTAAAATACGTGTGGTGTTCCATGAAATAAATTTTAATAATTCCAGTAAAATATCATTTTCTCAAATGTAAGGAAACAGACGACGAATTTATGTAACGTGAAACAAGGTTTGAAAGATTTCGTGCTATGTAGCTTTAACAACCGTGACCAGCACCGGTTTGTTTTTCACTACATCTCTCGTTTTTAAGGGTCAAGCGAATAATTTAAATCCTTTAAAGAGTATGTTTATTACTATTCATTATGAAATTTATTGCAGGATTTTATTGATAAAATGTAGTGATATGTATCGTAAATAGTGGTTTAACATTTACTTTTGGATATAGCCACTGAAAACTTGGAAGAGTATAGAAACCTTCACTCCCTTTATATTTTCATTTGTATACATAATAACTTTTACTGATGTCGAATTTCTCGGTCGGAGGTTTCAACGTAAACTTTATCAAACATCGAATTTGTTATAAATTGTATAATGTATTTTATCGTAAGAAGTATGAGTCTCTTTTCCTAAATTCGAAAAATTCTTTGTGGTCGAAATTATTGAGCTATTTTGTTTTTGCTGTACCAGTTTACTATTTCTGACACATTAACACAAAAAAGTGTTGTTATTAAGCAGCCTCGTTATTAAATTTATTTGACTTTTAGAAGAAAGATTTATATGTTCTTTATTAATTTATTTTTATAATTATTTATAATTTTTTTTGTTAAACCATGGATATCGATCCACCGAACCTTTGTTCTAATTTGAAGAGATCAAATAGTGCACCTATGATCAACGAATTGGGGACTACATCATCAAGCTCTCAAGATCTTTTGCGCAATCGTGGTAGTAGCACTCCACAGAGAGTTCCACGAATGACTCAAACACGACGTTTCAGTGGTAGTTTCAGCCCTAGTCGATCTTCACATTCTCCAACTGCTCCTCTGTCACCTCTTGTTCTGAGTAGAGTCTCTCAGATAAAACAAGAGGAGTCTATGGACGTTGTATTTCGAGAAGCTGCTCACGAAAGAGAGACTAAATCGAAACTTCAGATATCACATTCACTAGAAGATCTCACACTTGATGAAGCTTCTTTCAGTGAAAATAATAAGCGTTCTCAATCTGTAACTGACCCTTTGAGAATCCACACATCTCATATAGTGATGTGCAGTTCGCCCTCTCCCACAAACACAGGTCGTCAGTGCTTTTCTCCTTCCACTTGTCTCCCTGTGCAACATAGTGCCTTTACTCCTAGTCCTAGCCCAACCAGAAAAAATTTCACAAGGTGCAGTCAAAGTCCTATATCACTTAGGCCTAGTCAGTGGTCTTTGAAGAGGAAATATGATATGGACAGTGATGACAGTGATTACATGCCGAGTAGTGCTAAACACTTTAATGCTGGAATGTCTTCTCCTGAGGCAGACTCGAGGCCAAATCCTCCTCATATACAAAACTTATCCTTCAATTCAATGGATGCTTGTAATAGTTCAGATCAGAGTGATACTCAAAGACATTCTGATTCTATGTCAAGCTGTATGAATTCGCCTTATGGCACATTCAAACCTGTGGATCCTGCTCCAACTAATCAGAAAAATTATAACTGAAATGGGAAATGAGGAAAAGAGATTTAATGCACAAAAATTAAAGTGCAAAATTTTATCCTTTAAGAATACATAACTACAGGCTGTAAATGTGTGTAATTTTGACTTGCAATGTTTTTTGCTTGAATTTGTATGTTATTCTATGAGGAACTTTAAATGGTATTGTGATAGTTTAGACTTCAGAATTTAATCTTCATTTTGAAAATCTGAAAAAAGAGTGTTTAATACTGAGAATGATATCAGACATTCCAATACCAGTCATGTAAAGTAGTTGAGGTTTGAAATGTTCATGTGTTTATTTCTGTACATTAGGAGCATTCATCTGTTTATTGCATTACTATTGCTAGTTGAAGCTTTAATTAAAGAAGATGATTTTTTTTTTTTTAATTCTTGTTTTGAAAATTTTATATTTAAAATTCTGTTGTGTGATTGCCATTATTAAGGATATGGTTTTTAGAGATCTGTGCATATAATTAATTGCTTTGTACCCCTACGAACAGAATACAAACTGTAACTTGAGCATAATAGGAACATATTTCAGAAAGACTTTCAGGTGTAAAAATTTCTGGCCAGGGAAGAATTTTGGGCCAGAATTAAAAATTATTTTACTATATGCCAGTAAAAGACTTTATCTTAAGTATAATAGTGCTACTTATCTTTATTTATATGCATTATCATAGTTTTACAATTTATTGTTTTTTCATTCTTTCTATGTGGTAGAGATATTATACTATAAATTTATGTGTGATAAAACAGATTAAGTGATAAACACTAATTAACAGACACACTTTAAGTGATAAACACTAATTGATGACATATTAAAAAAAAAGTTTTTGACCTTCAGGATATCTTGATGAAATATGTAAATTTATAATTTCCTTTGTCAACTAATATATTTTTATTAATTTTTTCTAAAGTTTAAGAATTCATCAAGTATTAGCATATTTTCCCCTGTAGTTTACTTTTTATTTATTAAATGATTTTATTCTAATTAAATTTGTCTTATCAAAAATTTCACAATTTTGTAGCAAATGATCAATTTTTTTAAAAACTTTAAAAGAAAGAGAGGAAAAGTTCTAAATTTTTTACTGATAGAATAAAAGAGTTTAAAAGAAAAAGATCCATGAGACAAAATTATGAATTTGAATTCCCATTTTAGAAATCTTAATGACTTCAGACAGACGTTTATCTTTGGAGAAATGAGAAAAATAAAATAAAAAGTGTTACTGTTAATTATATGAATGCTGTTATGTTGTGCATGAATATTAAAAATGGTGGGCTAATCTTTGGAATATGGTAACAGGTAGTTTGGCGACATTTTGGTAAGGCGATAAAGGTTACTAGCTAGGACTTTAGCAGTGTACATGGATAAAGTCAAGAGTATACGCAATGCCATTTTTGTGCAATTCTGGGATGTTTTTTTAAATGAAAATAGGTCAACGAGTACATGGATGATACTGTGTATGTGCAATTCTTAAAAACGTGGCAAGCAGTGGGTGATTCTGCACTTTCTCCCAATTTCGCACCTAATCTTCATCATCATTAAGTACTTTTATACCATAAAAGTTCTAGCGTTAGTGTAATTCGGCCAGCAGATTTTTGGGAAAAAATGTTGAGTAGGGGGGAAAAAAAAAAAAAAAATGCCTTTACTTTGTGAAAAAAAAAATAGCGTCCAATTTAAAAAACTAGCAGGTTGCTGTAGCAGGTTTGGTCACCACATTTTCGCCAAAAAATCGCCAAGTTACCATAATCCGAAGATTAACCAAATGGTGCTTTATATATATGTATTTTAATCTTTTTATGAATTATAATTAGAAATACAAAATTGGCACATTTTAATTTTCTGTGATATTTTTATAATATTAGTATACATATTATAATTATATTGATTGGATATACTACATTGATATTTTTGAATTACTTACAATTTAGCTTTAATATAATGAAAAAATACTTCGTTATATTAAAGCTAAATTATGACTTAAAAACTAGTTTGCTCCCAAAAATTTCATGAAAGTAGTTTAAAGATTGTAAATAATAATATTTGAATATTATATATATAATATAAATTATGTCAAATACATTACATAACTTATTGATAATGATAACTAAGTTTAGATTCAGAAAACTGAGGAAGCTTTGCACATTTTTGAGCCTGTGTACTTTAGAATCATATCTTAGTTGCTTTTATCCTGAATCATGGTAATAGAAGTTATGTTACGAATAACATTCAGGAAACATTTTTAATTTAAATCATATAGATCAAGCATACATTTTAAATTAAATTTCTTGGATATTGTTAAATGTGCTTTCAACATAGAAAAGTAGATGTTTAACTAGTATTTGAATTAAATTCCAATTTTTAGTATTTCATAATAGCGTTTTCCTGCAGAAATTGAATATTATGTTTTTTGCATAGCTATAAAAATTTCTTCTGCATTAACCACTATTCTAAAGGCTGTTTAAGATTGGCATAAACATTATAAAAAGTATATATATGTATAATTTGCTTGTTATTTCTATCATGCTCAATATATTTCCTTTAAAGTAAGATAACTTACCTGACTGTCATTGCTATTCATTGAAGTACAAAGCGATATTTCAAAGCTTGTGCAGAATCACATTTTACAACTGCTATTTTGTTTTAAAAATGTGTATCCCTTAAGTTCTTTCTAGCTATAGCATAAAGATAATCACATAGGAATTATATGTATATCGACTGCGCTTTTGGCACCCTAGGGGATCGATATAGTTGACTGTAAGTTAAAGAATAATTCAAAGCAAAATATACCTTTATTTAGTTGTCACTTATGAGTATTCAATAGTATTTGCTTTTATGATTTAAATTAATTCTGAGATTTAAAGCTGAATGAAAAATATGACCTAACCCTGAAAGTAAACATGTGTTTTTAAAAAGTGTATAAATATAGAATTAAATATCTAGGAATTATGGAAATTACCAATATCTGTATAACTGTACTATGCTATGTAGCTTAATGCTTCTTAAGAATATATAGTTCAGTAAAAATGCCTGTTATTTTTATATTGAATTAAATTTCCAATCGTATACTAATTATTTAAAGTATTTTCATGTACAGTCAAAAGTAGTTAATTCGGACACCCATAATTCGGAATGATCTATAATCCGGACCTCAAAACTAAAAACTTTCTGCGCATGCGCCGCGTTGACACATGCACATAGGCGTTTATGCGTGCGCATAAGTCCTTTTACGACTGCGCATATGAGTGTGCGCAAGTGCAGAATACGTTTTCTCGTGCGCGTTTTATGTATAATGGACGTATAAGCTAAATAATTATCTATTTCAGTTAATGTTGATGATTGCGTTGTTCCTTAATTTTTGAATTGGATCCGGCTTATTATTTTTTGCAGACTGTAAGAGCAATTTTATAAAAGTAAGTTTAAACTTTCGATTATATCAAATAGAATTTCCGATATATATTTGTTAATATGTAAAGGATCTAAAGCGAAAGTATGTTTTGAAATTCGAAATCTGTTTATCAATTTCACGCTGCTCGGCGGGGGGAACGCTGCCGCATGCGCGTAATGAATTGGAAGTTGATCTGTCAGCACTATCCTTATCTTCAGGGCAGATGTTTTTATTTTATTTGGCTTATAATTCCTTATCAAATGTAGTATTTCAAATGTGCTCCGTCTTTGATATGATTTAAAACAAGTTCCTCGTCATTATTATTTGCTTCCGATAGCGAAGAAAGTAACAGAGGTTATTGAAAACGAAAAAATTTCGATTGACAAATTAGTCAGTATTCTCGACACAGCAATTATAGGACTTGAACAGCGGAACTTTGTAACTGAACAAGAAATTATGTCTGTTTAATAGAATTAAAGAGAAAGTATTATCACATGAAACGAAGCAAAACTTAAAACAACTTACATTGAAAGAAATGTTTAATAAAGTAAACAAATAAATATTAAGGTTTTTCTTTTTTTGCAAATTTTGATACCCTTTAAAGATCATAATTGTTCTTTATTTCATAAATTACGGTTTCATACTTTTAATTTTAGAATTTCTGCATGCCATCTTACGAGATTTAAACTGATGATCTATAATCCGGAAAAATCGATAATCCGGAATCGCCGAAGTCCTGACGAGTCCGGATTAACGACTTTTGACTGTATGTGTGTATTATGAAGCTAAGTGGGAATGTATATATAATAAGTGGGGCATCATTTTTGACATCTCAAGTACAGTTGGTATCTCCATATAAATTAAACATAAATAATTCAAAATGAAATATGCTTTTGTTTAATCGCCCCTTGTGAGAATAACCTTAGCTAGTATCCTCTGAAAATCGGCACTTTAGGTGGCTGTTCTGTTGTCTGTGTTTGGAGCTTAAATTGTGTAATGAGTTTAATAATGTACTTTGTGTACTTTGCAAAACTAATGGTTAGCATGAACATTATTTTGTCCTTATTGCTGTATAGGGTATTTGTGATATTCATATCTGTATATAATATAATCATCTTATTAATAATTCCTTTTAAGTAGTCTGTAATTTCCTACAGCTTCTTTTTAATATTGAGAAAAATATAAATGTTTTTAATGTAACTATGCAACATTGAATTTTGTATGTGCTGTGTAAAAAAGTTTTAGGCTGCTGTATCTTTAAATAATCTAATAGGATATCTGTTATCTTAGTACCTTTTTTACTGTATGGGTAAAATTTTATTAATATAGAAAATAAAAGTTGATATTATTGAATAACCTTTTAAAGCCGTGTAACTTACCTAGAGCAGTTGATGTCTAAGCACTAATGAAAAGCTTCATTTTCTTTTTTTTTTTCTAAATTTATTATATTTTGTGATAAAATAGATACTTAAGTAAATCTAGTTTTAAAATTTGCTCCAATTTTTTTTTTAGTCCAAAGGGATTTGAATCCCGAAGGACTATTAGTTTCGTTTTGGCATTTTGCGTCGGACTCATAAATGTCGGTTCACTTTTCAAACTGTTGCCACAAAATGTTAGAGTCCTGCATTATATTTGAAGAAATTAAATAATGAAAAATCTGCATAAATGTATGTATATTTCTCGTATTGTGATAAAACAACGGTACCTAGAGTCATCGAATTTTGAATAACGTAATCCTCCAACGAATATGAGCATGTGGAAGACCAAATTTGAGATTTGAAATTTGTTTTATGATCGATTTCCTATTTTTTAAAACTTTGACGAATTTTTTATTAACAAACTCAAGGATTTCAAAGCGAGCAATGGCAACGTTGTGCAGAAAAAACATTTTTATCTCCAGTGTGTGAGTCTCTGTATCGGAAATTCTAAAGATATGCTCGTTTTAAAACTATTTTGCGATATTGCTGTTGCACTGGATCTTATGGTTTAAGTGCGAGGAACATGATATTTAATAAAGAAAGGTAACACACAAAATGTTAAAAAACGCCCCTTTGGACGTAATTTAAAATCTGAAACATTTCAGATTTTTTTTTTTTTTTTTTTTTTAAACAAGGGAATTTTGAATTAAGTATAGATAGTAGTATCTTTTGTGTAGCTAACAGTTTTATGGATCAGATTTAGTTAAGTCTTATAAAGCATTAATAAATGCATACAGTGAATCTTCTCTTGGTGAAAACCTTTGAAAACAACCAGTATTTCTGAGAAAACAAACAAAAATTGGTATTGATAATTATAATAGTCCCACTCGTATCTGACCAAGACAGTCAAATACGTGGATTAGGGTAACCATCAGAAAATTTAATTTTAATATCACTTTAAATATTTTATGTGAATAAATCAGAGTTAACATTTTTTGTCCTTATTATAGCAGCAAGTATATATTTGTGGAAAAGAGTAGTTATTCATTATTTCAGGTATAATTTATCATGCAGGATTAATTTATTTTGTGAATAATTCATTACATGTTGGAAATTCTTTAGATTAACTTTTTCATTTTCTGTAAGTAGGTTTGCTATGCATCCTGTATCTGTAGGACTGTCATCATATTTCGCTATTAAGTCCATTATTACTATTTTTCCATATTTCTCTCTAAATTCTACATGAGACAGCCACAAGCGATGATGCAACTTTGAAATTGTCATTTGGAAGAGAAATGGCTGAAGTTTTTTCCCATTTATATATTAATCATAAAGCCATATCTAATAAAGCTATTTACCATTCCATAATGCAAATGTAGAGAGTATTCTCCTTAATGTCAACTTAGTGGCTGGAAGAAGAAAAAAGCAGAGACAGTTGAAGCAATTTTAATTTGTCATTATAATTATAGAATAAGCTGTACCCAATTTTATAATTATGTGAAAGAAGAAATGATATAACTAAGAAAGTGAAATCAACTTTAAAAACGATTGGATAGGATTATGTAGGATTAGCCTTGCATCTTTTTTATTATTCTATTTATTCATTTTATAAGATTGCTTAAAATTTATTGATTTTTATCAGAATAAAATAAATATGGCAACCTTAGCTAATGTAAAGTGCCAGATTAAAACCTTTAAAGGCCCTAAAGCATTTAAAAGTGTATGGTGCCCTTGCATGTATTTACAATATGTCTGTCTCTCCCCAATTCCTTCTGTCTTGGTCTTCTTGCTCTTAACTGTCCCACACATTCTGTAGTGAAACCAGCAATGGGAAAGTTTTGTAGTTCCCTTTTAAAGGAGTCCCTAAACACATTTTTACAGTGCCCCCTTTTTTTGATGCTTTGAAGTATGTGTATATTTTGCCTAGTGGTTATTTCACCTCTTTTAATGGTACATCTTATATATAAATGTTTTCAGTTGGTATGAAGATAGTTCATTTCTGTTTTTAAGACTATGGTTCTAGTTAATTTGGAAGCTGATATATCAACATAGAGAAGTATATGCTTTTTAATTTTCAGTTTCATAAATTTTAAATTAGTAATCTTAGATGAAGGTATTTAAACAATCATAGATAAAAGAAGTCTTCAAAATGAAAAATAAAAGAGTGCTGAATTTAGAAACAACAAAAAATTATCAAAGGTGCAGATGGCGATTTGTAGCAAAGGTATCAACAGACTTCTTTAAAATAGTAAGCAGGCTTTATTGGATAATTATATTTTAATAATGTTATTGTAATGAATATTTTACTAATCAAAATTTGTGTATGATGTTTTGTATAATTTTTGGTTCTTTGCATTTTAAGATCAGAAAACTGAGTATAAATGAATTTTTCTAAATTTTTTGTTGCTATTTTATTTGCTGCTTATCTTTGTAATTTATTTTTTAGCATATTAATATATCAATGCACCTTTTATGCATATGCCTACTTTAATGGTTTTTTTTTTTTAATTGATTCTTAGCCTAGAATCAGTAAAATCATTATGAAAATCAATCATTTCTTAAACAACCAACTCCATAGATAACCAAATTCATTTTGAAATTGGTTGTGGTTTTAGAGAAGGTTTATTGTACTAATTCAATCAGCAAATATTTAGCAGAATCAATTGGTGTTAACATTTATTTTAGACTGACAAATTTTAGTTCAAGTGTACATATATTTAACTTATGTTTTTGAACTGTATTTAAAATTAACCTTATTTTCTGAAGCAGTTGTTTAAAAGCTGGGTTGATCTTTACATTATGGTAACTTGGCGATTTTTTGGCGAAAATTTGGCGACCAACTCTCCTACAGCAAACCTCTATTTTTTTTTCCCGCCGCCATTTTGTCTTCACGAAGTAAAGACATGTTTCTTTTCTTTTTATCTACTGAACACTTCTTCCAACAATCTACTAGCTGAATTACACTTATGCTAGAAATTTTATCTAACAAAACTGCTTAATCATGACAAATATTCACTGCAAAATTGGGAAAAAGTGCACAATACCATACTCCTTACGCGTTTTTCAAAATAACACATACAAACATCCCAGAATTACACAAAAATGGCATTGCGCACACTCTTCACTATATCCATGTACACTGCTTTTTTCTCATAAATTAGAAAAATTTCATGAAAATACATACATGACAATTTGCTGAATCTTTAAACCCTTTAAACCCGGTAAAAAGAACATATATGAAATTACCTGATCACGAAAAAGTATATACCCTTTACAAATATGAAACATTTCCACGTATAAAATAAATAAAAATATCCAAAAACTTTTACCTCTCTAAATTATCTATTATATTATAAACGTCACCAGCAAATTCATACCGCAAACATTACAAATACTTAGTGTCAAATATTTAAATTATTTCCATGCACGTTTACTTCAACTAAAACGTATACCAAATTCCTACAAACATAAAATTCACAAAATAACTATCATTTAGTTAAAATATAATTAAATTCAAAAACACTACTTAAAATATAAATAAGCACATACATTAAATTAATAAAAATTAGCTTACAATCCTAATTACTTTAAACTAAATCATTGCTAATAACAATATTCCCAATAATATCAAATTACTTTACTTCCACCTTACATTTAGAACAATGCATAAAAATAATATCCTCAAATAATTAAAAATACTAACTTACCTAATCTTCTTCAGAATCTTGATTACATGTCCAATAAACTTTTCTTATTTCTGTTTCAGGATCTTTAAAATCATACTTATAGTTCACAGCAAGGTACCAGGTAAAATAAATAACTTAATAAAACATCTTTACTTCTATCTCTACAACCTTAAAGAAACACTTATTACTACCCCTTTCAATCTCACTAAATACCCATTTCGAATTCACTTTAGTTAGGGCCATGGGATCCAAAAATTAACGAACACTGTTTCACACAACACACTATGAATAAAGCCAAAATACAAAAAAATTTCCAGATTTTTTCCCGATTTCCCCCCTTTTCCGATTAAAGAACCATAATTCGTCCATTAATATCACATGACATATCCCATGATCTCTCATTTCCCTCACACAAAATAATGTGTAATCGGAACTGAGTACTGCTCACATTATTACCAAAGTCCCAGGTAGTAACCTTTATCGCCTCCAATATATCGCCAAACTACCAGTTACCATATTCTAAAGATCAGCCAAAAGCTGTTTTTTAAGATAAAACTGATTTGGTTTATTTTGGGGCAAATGTTAAGTTAAAGGTGGGTGAAGTGCCAGTTACCTGTTAGTTTTAATATTTAAACCTGTTAGTTTAAATATTTACCTGTTTACCTGTTAGTTTAAATATTTAAACAATTTGGTATTCTTCATATCAAAACGTGTTCAGATTATTGGCAGTTTATTGTGTTCAAGAAATCATAGAATTATAATTGTAATTAAATTTTACCATAAATGAGTGCTTAAGGCATTAGTTATGTGTTGCTATCATAACTTTGCCTTGTCATGTAATGCTACCATTTTTAAAGTTTAAAGTTTAACTGCACTTGTGGGTCTTAAATATTTCATGTACATACCCAAAGCACTTGCATCTATCTATCTTATAATAATAAAAGCAAGTGTAATGTGTCTGTCTGTCTGTCTGACCGAGCTCTCCAGCCAAATCTATCGCACGCAGGGACCTGGAATTTTTTATACGGAAGCACAAAGGGGCTGGCCACCAGACCTCGAAGCCCGATTTTCGATTTTTGAATTAGAAAAATTTAAAAAAAATTATTTATAATTAATTATCTGTCTGTCTGTCTGACCGAGCTCTCCAGCCAAATCTATCGCACGCAGGGACCTGGAATTTTTTATACGGAAGCACAAAGGGGCTGGCCACCAGACCTCGAAGCCCGATTTTCGATTTTTGAATTAGAAAAATTTAAAAAAAATTATTTATAATTAATTAATCACGGTTTTTTTGACTCACTGATATTATTATTTGTTTTCAAATAACGTTCGATTGTAACAATTGATTTCTTTATTCTAGCGTTAGTTTGCTGTTTTGACGATACATTAAATCGATTAATTACAATTCATTTCTTTTTTGTAGCTTGTGGGGGGGAAGAGAGAGAGACAGTCTACATGTCCTACACTACTATTCCTGCGCTATTCACTTATCTGCATTTTCTAAATGCACGGGCAACGCCGGGCGGGTACACCTAGTATATATATATATGTAACTAATATATATGATTGTATTTTACAGATAAAAAATTCCTTTAGTGAAAACATTTTATATCTTATAAAAGTTTCAATTTACTGTGGAAAATGTCAAATTCAGTAAATTACAAACTCAAAAGTTAGTTTTGGTATTTACGTATCAACATAAACACTATAGTAGCAGTTGCCAAATTTTCAGAGTGCTCCTAACTCTGGCAACCATGCAGATAACAGTTCTTCAGGCAACCAAATGTACAAGACTTCTTTGGTTTTAGTAAATGTAAATAATCAATTTTCATATGTATTCTTTTCATTTTACTTACCAGTTTTTAATGGAAAATTATGATATATTTTTTTCTTAAACTTAGTTTTAAAATATGCACTTAGTGGATTTCCACTGCAGGAATCCAGTGTGTTACCATAAAATCTCTGAAGGGAACAATTGCTTTAAATGTATACTGAACATGTTTACTGTCCAAACTGATGTGGTGTATTTGTTGACACTTGGAAACTCGTAGCTAACGATACATACTTTGAGAATACTCGTAGCTGGCAAGTAAATGTAGTTTGCCAAGTGCGAGTATTCTCATAGATGTGAGTGAATGTGTTAAAACAGTTAATTTATTTCTGGGGTAAATTATGTGCGTAATAAAAATGTATAATAACATGTATGCATGTATGTAATAATTTTTTTTTTCCAATTTTTAAGTCATCATTCTTTTGTAAAAAATTGCTAATGTGCACCAAGTTGGATGTGCTAATACATAAATACCTTAATTTTTTCACTTGCTTTACCTGGGATGAGAGTTGTTTTTAGCATTTCATTTGTTTTACATGTACAATTATATATAGAAAGTGTATCAGTTGCTACAGGAAACTATTGCTTTTTCAGTAGATTTATCATGATACAATGACACTTTGAATCATGTATATATGCTTGAGTCTTTTATCAAACATCAACATCAGAAATTAATAATTTTATATGGAAGTTATGATTTAAAAAAATAAACTAATTTAATTATATATTATGGAAAAAAAAACAGTACTGTTAAATATTAAGTAGATATTCTTTAGTTTTAAGTATTGCTGAGTGACAACATATGTGTGTTAGAGAATTGTATAGTATCATATTAATAAATTGTTTTGTAACTAATCTGTATTTTATGTTAATAGAAAAATGAAATGTGAGTGCTTTATTATCATAATTTGTGTGAAACAGTTCAAATATCAATTTAGGATCAGTCAAAATAAGTGTGTGAGCAATGCATATATATTTTTGAAATATTTGTCTTGGATTTTTCTACCTCACTTTAAGTCAGCAATCATAACAGAGAACAGAAAATCATATGGGTCTTTTTGTCAAGGAAGTTATTTTTGTCAGTACGGGTTTTGAGTTGAATTTGGTGTTGTTATGCTGGTACTGCTGCTACTGTCATGTGTAGTACTGTTATTGCTTACTTGTTTTGTAATTATTTTATTAAAACTGCTGTGCAAAATTTGATGGGAATAATCAAATTGTCCTAAAATTTTATGCACATATATAGCAGAATGAATATGTAAATGATATACATGAGCAAAATTTTGTGCCTATAGTGTTTTGTTATATCACAGCTGTTATTTTGACCTTGTATCAAAAAATATCTTCATTTTAATATATTTTCTGTAAATAAGTAAATTAAAACTATGCATAATATAAATTTTCAGTTATAAAATATTTATATTAAAAAATATGCACATCTTGTTCATGTGTTATATTGCCTTTTAATTATCAGAGAAAATAGAATCTATTTCTGAAGATAGATTAAATTAATTTTTAAATATATGGTGGCTGTAATTTAAAAAAAATACTCAGAATTAAATATTCAGTTTTTGCTTTCATCATTACAATGAAATGTCATCTGAAGATTATTTATTTTGCCACGGGAATTAAGTGCAGGTACTAGCATATATTTAAGTGATTTTATAATCACATGACAAAACATTGCATGGAAAATGCATCAACTTATGTGGTAGCTATAAATCTAAATTC